CTCTCACAGCTCAGATCTGTCCCCTGGTTATCCCTGGTGCGGGTGCAGCTCTTCCCCATCCCCATCCCCATCCCTGTGCCTTTCCTTCCCATCAGGTCCTTTCCTCGATTAAAAACGCTGCTCTCATCCCTTGGCCTGGTGCCCCACAGCCTTGCTCTTGTTTTTATTGACAGCCCCATCTTTTGTTGATTAAAATTCCTTTAAGTGCACCTGGTGGCCGATCCTGTTCCCGAGCCAGGGATGCTGTCACCGTCCCCTCCTCTCTTGGCCCTTTCTGCCCGTGCTCCCCCTCAGCCGGGTGTCCCCGGGTGCTCCATGTGTCCCCTTGGCTCCAAAAATAAAGGAAAAGAAACAAAACTGCTCCAGGATGATGGAGAAAAGGGTGATTTTTATTTGGGAAGAGAAAGGGCTCGGTGTCAGGGCATGCCAGGCTCTGTCCTCATCCCTCGTCTCCCTTCTCCCGCTCGGCTGGATTTGTGCCTGCAGGGATGGAGAGCCAAGGAAYGCGGGCCAGGAGCAGAGTCGTGCCAAAAGCACCGGGATCCAAGTCTTGCGGCTCCAAACAAGCAGTGGCAGCGATGAAATCCCTGCCAGCCCCGGGCTGGGGCTGGGATCGCCCACCAGYGAGGATCATCCGCTCTGTGGGGATGGGGGAATGCCAGGAGCATCCACCGCCCTGTCAGAGGGTGGATGCTGAGTCCAGAAACGCTTTGGATTCCTTGTGGGGACTGGAAGGCATCGATAGACCAATCTTTCTGCTCCCCTTTGGGATTTCTGCTCCCTCCAGGACCTGTTCCTCTTCCACACCTGATCCTGGGATCCCCCAGGAGGATTTTGGCCCATCTGGGGTGCAGAGAGCACCCAGAGCTCAGGGAGCCCTGCACCGCCTGGGGCTGGGATGGGCTTCATCCCCTCCCACATTCCAACAACCCCTCGGGGCTCTGGCCTGAAGGGCCTCCCCTGGCCGTGATCACATCCCCTTCGTGCAGTCTCAGGAAGCTTTGGCCCTTGGTCATCCCCTGCCACCCACGTTCAGGCTGCGGCCAAAATTCTCACCCTGCAGCCCCAGGCTGGAGGGATTCTGCTCTCTCCCAAAGCAGGGGGAGGAAGGAGAGGGGCCCGTGGGGATCTGTGCATGCACATTCCACCCCTGAGTCACTGCTTTGATCCTCCTGACTGAACTTCTGCTCAGGGATGGGGAAGGGTGGCAGTGTGAGAGGACGGATACAGGGATTCCCCTGCTCCTAATGGGGATATGGATCTCATATCCCATGGGTGCTGTTCCTGTATCCCATATCCTGTGGGTGCCATTCCTGGATCCCATATCCTATATCCCTTATCCTGTGGGTGCCATTCCTGTATCCCATATCCCATATCCCATGGGTACTATTCCTGTATCCCATATCCCATACCCCATATCCCATGGCTGCTGTT